GGTTTGAAATCTGATTTATGTTTCTGCTCAGGTTGCCAGTAAGTCCAATCCAAATGGATGGGATGATAATATCATCACTACGTTAGCTAGAGTTTGGCAGTGTGTTGATCTGTGGGACTTCAGCGCATAACCATTCTAGATGTGACTTGAATCATGACTGTAGTAGGCCTGTACTATCGGAACTGTTTGAATGATTTTCCCCAAGTGCAATGAAAACAAACTTTGCTATCTTGCGTACCTAGTCGGTGGGTTAAATTTTCAGATACGTAAGCATTTTCATCAACCATTGAGCAAATGTTCTTTCGCACAGTTGTGCCTACATTGAAAATCATGCAACTGTTGATTATTATGAGGTTGGATAGTTTTTCTCTGATATCCGGCATTATACTGACAACAAATTGCGCTCGGAGCACTCTTTAAATAATGTGTCTGTATGGTGGATGATATGCAGGAAGATGCTTGCCATTCGACAGGAGCAACGTCTGAACGTCCTGGGGGAATACACGGGCATGTAAGGAAACAATAACTTCTGGAGTCTCACTGGTGTCTCGTGGTTTATACGTAGAAATATGATATGCTGGGAATTTTACATGTTTAATGAGAATTTGTTATACCATCCTAAATATCGCATGCCGATTCCAGAGGGAGTTGTTTGATAACGAAACTGTTGTTTATAGTTCAAGTAAACATGCCTGTTTTTATACCATTTTTGAATAGCTGCAGACTCACCTCCAACTTGCACTGGCCCTTCGAAATGAAAGAGCAATAGGCCATAACTCATGATGTCTGGGCTGGTAGCTGGCGTTCGTACAAAAGTACAGAGGAAGTTCGCTCAGTGCGTTGTAGCTTTAAGGCAGCTCCTAGGTAACCTAGTATAGCCCAATTTCATTACGAGTTCCCCAAGGATCGTCTGCTATTTTTAAAGCTATATGAAATAACAAAAAGTTCGTCTCAAAATGGACATTTGTATGAGTAAATTGAGGATGAAATCCGAAATAGAAAATTCTCACCTTGAGAAACAGAGGCTTTGTGGAGAGAAAGAGAACATGGTTGAATTTACCCCTTCTCATCAGCGCTAAGCTATTTTATACTGTGAATTACATCTTATCACATATAAGAAGTGCATACGTTGGTTCGATCATGCTAGGACAGATATGGGCAACCGATCTAACCCAAAACGCGCTATCGTAGGCGGGGTAAACGGAATTCCAGCTTTTAGAGTCACTTACAGCAGGAGGATATCGTCATTTACACTATAACCGTCTGGACGAATCACCTCACCAAAATTGAAACAAAGTCTCTTTGACTTAGGTCATGAACTTATGAGGAATTTAACGCATAACCATCTATCTGGCATATTCGTTGGCGTAAATTTATAATGCTGTAGAAACCAGCTTGCTATTACTGTTGGCTCCGACCACAATCGTCCATTTCAATCTTATGACTGCATAGCAGAGCTCAAACTCTTGGAATTTCAGAACATAAGTGTATTTCTATAGTTCCCGTTGACTTTCCGTTTATGTTGCGCACCTACGATGGCAAATAAATCCCGGAATATTTGCGCGGAACCTTAGTACGCAAGCAAATTATCACAAATAAGTCAGTAAACAGATAGGACAATTTTTGCATGAGACATCAGTGGCTGGTAACGTGTGGAAGGACTCTGCCACCAAGTTTACTTTGCGGGTTACATAAAAGTTCGTCAAATTCTTCCGAAAAAATTCGAGGAGTTTCAATGTAACTATTTGGTTGCATGATAACCTCGGACGTGTTGTTTCCAACCTCGGACGAAAATGTGCTTACGTTACAAAACATGCCGAACGCCGTTTAAAACGTGATTCTAACAGCGAGAACCTGGAACCACGGGGGATTCTGTTAGGTTAGTTGGTCAAGTTGGTTAGGCCCACTGATTGCGGTCGGCGTTAATTTGGCCCAACGGTGTAACCTGTTGAACGCATTGACTCAAATTGCAGGTAGCTGCACTCTAAGCAAGGTGGCAATATATACGCACGGACGTTTGCAGGCTAAAAAGTCCATAAATCTCATGAACCGTTCATATGTTTTGACATAGATGCGTGGATTGCAGTGATTGAATCGAGTTCTCATCCGTTTCACTCTGTAAGGTTTCGTGGATGGAAACACGCATATCGTTTTTCCTCAGCTATTCGTGCACAGAGCTGTCCAGCTGCCTAACAGAGGCATTTGCCTGGATATTCTGCACGGGGAATTTTGCAGACGCAGAACTGACGGTTTTTCAATTCTACTGGCCACTTAGCCCTCAATAAATGTTGCTGTAACGTGTCTTCATTTTGCAACTCGTTGGCTAAAAGTGAGAGTTTTATAGTGCTTTCAGTGCGGATTCCAAAGTGCAACCATGAAATCTGGAATGTTGCCCGTGCGGATTCCACCTGAAAGTTTGTTTGTGGGAAATATTCACATTGATATGTTGTAAACTTACCCCCTGCTGTTGTTCGCGGATGTGCAGTGGAAATAGAAACAAGTTATCTCAGTAATACCCCACCTCGCTGAACCTGCCGGTGTTCAGGTTGCGCATGCCTCATGCGTGTTTCGAAACCCATGTGTTAGGTTATTCGCTTGTGTACACTTGTCTAATGTGACAGGGATTCCAGGAGCATGCGGCAAATAATTATTTCAATACAAGCTTCGTCCCGATGAGTAACGAAAATAGCACTCGAATGCGGCTTTGAAAAGGGTGCAATAATTTATGGAGTCAATCTGTGCTTCATAAAATCATGCACGAAATTACGTCGATCAACAGAAGTGATTAGAATCCGGTTAGCTCCCGCCATCATTGGCTTTCTTGAAATTATACAACTCGACTAAATTAAGATGGGGTTCGGTGCGCTTAACAGCAAACGCTGGTACCTTCATTATCGGGAACAGTTGAGAAGATGACCGTCTGCACGTTTGTGCAAACTTTAGATATTAGGAATGTGAGTACGTTTTCTGTGATATCCAGGAATTTTCCCTGGATTATATTTGAACACCGAATTTCGAATAATGCGTCTGTATGGCGGATGGTATTTGGGAAGATATTCGCAACTCGATAGGACGCAAGTTTAGTCCTCCCAGGAAAAATAAACGAGCAAATCAGAAAACGATAACTGCTGAAGTTGCGCTGGCCAGATTCCGTAGCAAACGCGCCGTAAAAAACACTAGGACAATAAAGTCGGCGACAAAATAAGCAATTAGCAGACACACACATTATTAAATATTCCACGGTGTACTCAGTAGATATGTAGTTGGGGGCTTGGATCTTTAACAGCTGCTTTAATGAGTGCGTTCACATTTCCAATTCAGAATATAATTTCCGAACGCGCTCCGACAATAGGTCGGAAGTTCACCCAGACCTTAAAATGCAAATCGGCATGATCCTTCTACTTTCATGCAATATGTATTATCGGATGCAACGTTTGAGCTTCGTTAAAACAAATGATTCCACCGAAGTGGACCATCGTGATACCCGTCGAAAGTGCAGTTAATCTTACGCATGAACGCTGCTACTATGCATTTGCTTTGACAGTTATGGCTTACCGAGGCATGCGGAAATAAGCCGGTAACCTCAAGTATGTTGTTTAGAAATACGGTCCTGAAAACCATGCGACAACTATCGAATAACTGGGTGCTTCGGAAATAGATGCGACAGATTATGCTGGACGAGGCGGTGCAACATGGACGATGGAGATTTCCAAGGTTTGCCAAGTATTACCCAAATGGGCCCATTCTTGGTTGGGGGAAAACGACACTTGGCTGGTTGGTGTGAACAATAATGCATTTGGTATTCGCAATCACATTCTTCAGCACACGTGCCTTTCGCTCAAGAAAGCTGTTTCGTACATTACTAGCTACTGGCGATTTCGGTAAATAAGCCGTTTCCAAATGTATACAAAGGTTACCAACACAGTTACAACAGCAACCCGTGGATAACAGACTAAAATGGCACACATTGACTGAATTCATCCGCCACTGTTTGCAAACATACGCAGAAGACAGGAAACTGACCGCAAAAAAATCATCCACCACGAAATGCGGGTTGGAAAATCCAAATAAGCATCAAAAGTGACATAAGTTCAACTTAAATCATTTTGTTGCATAGGATGGGTGCCACAAAGTGCTCGCCATAACCGGGTGGCAGTGGTACGCGGGAATCATTTCACACAAACTAATAACTAATTTCTGGGGAAGGCATAATATGTGGAATATCTTTCGTGGTCTGATATCATAATTTTGACGTAATTATTAGTCAATTGCGAAAAACGCGCGACTCACGCTTACCCAAGCATGATGTGCAGTTGTATATCTACTGTTCATTGCTGAATCATGACTTCTTCAAGTAGTAAAATCTTCCTTGCAATGCGTTGCAAGCACAACCACCAACCTGTCGCCGTGCACCCCTACGAATCTCAATATCGCACAGGTGATGAAACGTTTGTACACGATTCGCCCAGCTCACCAAACAAGCCAACGACTATCAAAGCTACCTGAGCTGCCATCGCTTCCTTCGTAAAAACGCCTTCATATTTTCAACATAACTACATTGGCTTCATGCTGCGTATGCGCTTGACTTTCGTACATCGCTCAGTTATACTGAGCAAGACGGAGATCTCGGGCCAAACCGATGTTCGGCTGTGATGTATGCGTGGTACCAGACAGCCTCTTGTCCCAAGCTGCGTGTGAAATTGTGATTTCGGGTAGATTCCCCCGGTAAGGCAACGTGCGATTTTTTTGAGATTACAAACGGCCTACATTTTGTTTCTGTTGGAAATTCATCGAGAGCAAAGATTCAAATATTAGTAGTGCCACTATACCGCTGGTGGATGTTTCACAACCTTGCACTACAGTTCACCTAGGACGAAGGAAATTGCCATATGTTTACGTGGATCTATAGGAATTTCGCACATTGCATGATTTTTGAAAATGTTATTCAGTCTAGTCAAACGGTATCGGTATCATCTTCTTTTGATTTCAATCTTGATCAGGTCCAGATTTAGCCCTACAATATACCAAAAATGTGGCCGCTGACCCTAGAGATTTGGAGGCGCCCGTCGGGCATCTCATTGAAAAGCACCAGAGACGTAAATATGAGCGCAATCGATCTAAGTTGATGTAAAAGCGGAATTGATGCTGCAGCGCAACAACAATCTAGTGATCTCTTGTTCACCAAGTAATGCTGCATGCTCAGGCGTTGATCATTTGGCTCCAAAAGTGATTATATTTGACTGGTTATTATCATGAGTGCACACAAATGAACGATCAAAATATTTTTGTGTTACTTCGCAATTGGTTTCAAATTTATGATAGGATGATTCAACGCAATTTGCAAAAGATTCGAAAAATTAGCAAGCTATTTGTGCCATACTGCAGAAAAAACTGCTTAGACATGTAAGAAATGTGGGCCAAAATAACGTGATTTTCAGTTGGTTGGGGATTAATGAAATGAAAACTTACCTGCTGCTACGATTGAATTAGGCGATTCGGAAATAGAAAAACACATCTTTGCACCTCGCACATCACTTGATCTTCCCGGAATGGTGATGCATGTGGCAAAATGTTGATGTTCCTCCCACGCTTTCCGACAAAGCCAGTTATCTCGGAAAGATTTTCGAAAGAGTCAAAGTCGCAGCTTATCTGATTTCAGATCTGAGGTCTGTTCCATATCAGGCCCTTGCACAACAAAGGCGTGGGCACAAGCTGTTTCTGATTTAGGAGTTGTTCCACTTGAAACCATATAGCGCCTGAAGCGAAACAATTTTTCTTGCCTCACAAGGGATCTTCGGACTAAAGAACTCCGCAAGTTTTCCCCAATGCCGTTAGTAGTCTAGTCGTGCTACAAGGAAAAATCTGGCGCCCATTGGTTACCCATTTGGCTTTGAACCGGTGGTTGACAATCATAAGGAATTTGCTTGAATAATTGATATCGATTGGATGGGGAATCGTGTAAATGACAAGGAAATGCGTGCGGGTGCTTACTATGTGCCCGGTTTCCATGAGCTGAGTGTACGGACTCAGTCATGTAGAGCGCAGTGACGGTGGCCCATATAAGCTGAATGTAAGACCAAGTGGAGTGCGCCGCAGTGAATCGTTTATTTCTTTCGAATACCAAGTAGCTTGATAGCCTTAGCCATTCCAAACCTGTGGCACCTTACCTTACACACTAGACCTGAAAAATCACGGTCAGCAAACTAAGCCCTATTCAGCCTCATGATTTTGGACATGACATGTTTACCCGAGAAACCCCAGATATGCAAATATAAATACCTGTGATGCAACATATTTGTGACGTTTTCTACATGGCTGCCGGCAGAACGAACATTGTGCCTGAAAGTGCCGTTTAACAGGTTCTGCCGAATGTACGTTCCCAGTTTTATGATGCAAGTGTGAAAACTGAGGGGAGACATTCCCGAAGTTTGTGTACGAGGATTTGATGCTTAGCATGATGTAGACGTACCTGCACTTTTTTTCAAAGGTGCTTCAAAATTTACCTCATTTTATATACGTGAGTGCAAAAGGCAACTAACACATTCCGGTTTAGAAAGTTTACACACTTACCGGCATCTTCAATTTCCGCTTCGCAATTGAAATTTTGGTCAACGAATCACGTGTTAATTCCACATGATTGACTGAACATCATCTCCGGCTTTTGATCCTTACAAAATTGAGTGATCTTCCCTCATTCAAGTCCATCGAAATTCAAGTCATTATGGATGAATACCTGGGAAAATGACTTGTTGCTTTATTCAAGGCGATTCAGATTCTGATAACAACGTTCTGTTGAATAAACATATCTTCGTACTAAGCATTATATCCGGAAGAAAAATTCACAAAATAGGTGATCCTGAAGATGGCCCATCATGCAATGCTCTGTTTACAGATATATCACATCAGAGTTGTAAAACGTGTACGAGCACACTATTCTTCCAGAACGCACGGTGTAGGCAATGTGGTGCAATTCGTCCATTTTGCGGAATACAGGGAAAAACTACAGTAATATTTATCTCTTCCAAAACAGCATGTGTCCCTTTTACGTTTGTCACATATGGCCGGAT